TGTGTTTGGACAGCTAGCCGAATTTGATTAATCTTAACCTTGGTTTGTTTTTCGGTGGCTTAGTGGATTTAATACAGCTCGTTCTGGCTCAGGGCAGGAGCAACCGTGGAAAGCAGGTGGGAGGTCAAAAAAGGCAAAATGGCAATTCACCCTCCCTTTGCTAAGATTCCCGATTTGAGTGTTTTGCACGAGATGTAATTCAACAACCAGTTGAAAGGACACGCTTGGACAATGGTGCTTTTATTTGCTTTATTAGATGGAGGAGAGATACCAAGGCCAAAAAAAACCATCTCTCTTTTGTAAAATGCACTGGAGTCACTTTGGTTTAGTGGTTAAGGTATCAGGCTAGAAAGTGGGAGGCTGTGAATTCTAGTTCTGCCTTAGACATGAAAGCTGATAGGGGGACTTTGGGCCAATCACTAGGAGACGGTGAATTCTAGTTCTGTCTTAGACATGAAAGCTGATAGGGTGACTTTGGGCCGATCACTAGGAGATGGTGAATTCTAGTTCTGCCTTAGACATCAAAGCTGATAGGGGGACTTTGGGCCAATCACTAGGAGACGGTGAATTCTAGTCTTGCCTTAGGCATGAAGCCAGTTGGGTGACTCAACTCAACATAATTTGGCTAATGTCACCAGTTGATGCTTTGTATGAGTGACAGTAAGAGAGAGCCATGTTGTTTTTTAAAAAAGAAATTTCCAATATGTTTTTCCTACTCAGGTCAATTCAACCAAAACCCAACTCAACTTCAGCTAATGTCACCTGATCTTTCTTTGTATGAGTGACGATACGATGGTAGGCATTTTGTTAAATATATAAATATCTATATTTGCTGTTGTATCTGAAACAATTTAAAGCTTTTTTTTTTTAAGGTGAAGCCTTCCTACAAAGGCAAATGTTTTATTGGGGTGGGGAGAAACCCATCAGAAAAACAGTAAAATCTGTCTAAAAACATTGAAATCCAGAGGGAAAACAAAGCAGTGTAAAATTACGACTGAATGAAGCCATGGATTTGTAGAAGTTTTTTTTAAATGGCTCTACATGGTGCCAGCATTTTACTTATTTTATACACAAGTCAACTTTCTCATTTGGTCTCTTGACGACAGGATCTCTAGAACTTTGGGCACAGTGAAAGAAAAGCACCTTGCTTTGAAAGTGAAACGGGGAAAAAAAAAGAGAAAGAAACAGGGATGAAACCAGATTCAAACCGGTTTCCAGATCCAGAAGGGCGACTTCTTAAGGGGATAGCGAGTTCGGCCAGCCGGCAAAACCCATGTCATCGGTAGGCGTGTCAGGAGCAAATATTTGTAGAGGTATCATCCGCGTAGTAGGCTTTTTGCTATCCTTGTGGCTCGCAAAAGGGGAAAGCTGGGTCATCGCACTGAAGCCAAACAACTTGCAAGTGTGTTTTGTGATTCTCTGTAGGTTGGAACCGAGATTGGAAACAAGAGCCCCTTCTCTTCCCTTCCCTTCCTTGTGCCAAGCTTAGATGGGAGAGAATTTGCTTTTCAGGTGTTTTTTTTAAAAAGGATCAGAGAATTTGGGAGAAGATGTTTCATCTGAAATAGGGGTGTGCTGGCTGGGGAATTCTGGGAGTTGAAGTCCACATATGCTTGTTGAGGAATTCTGGGAAATCCTTCATCTCGAGAAAAGCTGCAGATACCGCAGACGGCTGAGACACTGAAATGACTTTGGTTTAGTTGAGAAGACAGGAAGAAGCGGGGGAGAAAAGCACAAACGAGGATGTGAAAGGCAGGCACAAAATCCAATCCTCTAACTCACCTCAAAGTCTCTCTCTCTCTCTCACCCGATGCTGCATTCACACAACATGCCAACATAGGGTTTACTTCCACAAGGAGGGTCGAAGGCACGCAGCTACATTTTAAAAATCTAGCTGACTTTGTTGGGCCAGATCAGGTTGGGTGATTATGGGAAGTTGCAAAATTGGGCGAACAGAATAAACCTGCATTCAATTGAACTCTGGACAGTGTGTTGTGTGAATGCTGCCAGGCAATGCTCAGCTCTGCATCTGTCTCTCTCACGAAACCTTCAGACAGTGATATGGTGATACATAAATGAGATTTATTTATTTTTTTTAAAAAAAATCTCACTGTTGTTTTCATAAATAACTCATGGTGAGGAACAGAATAATCCTCCTTTCTCTTCCTATATTCCCCACAACAACCCTGTGAGATTAATTGGGCTCTTCTTTTTCATCATCATCCCTCCTTCTTTCTCCTTCTCCTCCTCCTGTACTTCCTCCTCTTTTCTCCTCCTCCTCCTCCTCCTCTTTTTTCTCCTCTGCCTCTTCCTCCTTCTCCCTCTCCTCCCCATCCCCTCTTTATTTATCTCCTCCTCCTCCTCCTCCTCTCCTTCCCTCCCTCCTCTAAGATTCCAGAAAAATGGGGCCGAGACGGGCTCACTTGGGGCTTTTTAAAACATTAAAGTTTCACGATCCTTACTTGTGCCAAGGGACAGAAACTAACATGATGGGGTGGGGAGGAGGAAGTGTGTCAGCCTCCAGAATTTTTTTTTTTTAACTGCAGGCTTACAGCGAGATAAATAAATAACTTTCTGCTAGCCCTGGTTTTCTGCTCAGGAAGGCGTCAACTTCCTGCTGCAACTTTTCTTGGTCTTCTAGCCAAAAGATCTGGGGAATTTTTTGCTGATCTGAACTTCTCTTTGGGGAGCGGGGGGGCGATTTATATTGAAAAGACTCGGTGATGTCTTTTTGTGCTCCATTCGGACAGCGTTAAAATCTGCCTGGTTCCCTAGTCCAGACGCACTTTCCTTGTGAAAGTGTGGCACAAAGAGATAGCAGCCTCTGGGGAAGACCCGGAGGGGACATGACATCCCCATCAATGTCACAATTGACTCACTCACCAAAGCCGTGAGATGCTTGTGCCAATCTGTCTCCCGAGGCTCTTTTTTTCCCCTAAAAAAAATCCGGGTGTCTCCCCCCCGCCTTCCTTTTTTATGAGCTCTCTTTGATGTTGATGGTTTCTGCATCCCGCTGAGCATAATGTGCTTCAAAAATGTGGGGCCCTCCGTTTGACTGGCCTTCCCCAACGTGGGTGGCCTCCCACCATGTGAGTTGGAAATCCCAGAATTCTTTGGAGTTGACCGGCCAGGCAGGGGAATTCTGGGAGTTTGTGGATACCCAGCTGGAGGACGTCTGAGTTGAGGGACTTTTGTCTAAGAAAGGGTGATGTTTTAACTAGGCAGAAAAAAGCAATTTGGAAAGTTTTATAGTATGGTTGTACTTAAGGCTAGGGACACGGTGGCTCAGGGGCTAAGACACCAAGCTTGTTGATCGAAAGGTCAGCGGTTCGAATCCCTGGTGCCGCGTAACAGGGTGAGCTCCCGTGACTTGTCCCAGCTTCTGCCAACCTAGCAGTTCGAAAGCAGGTAAAAAATGCAAGTAGAAAAACAGGGACCACCTTTGGTGGGAAGGTAACAGTGTTCCATGCACCTTTGGCGTTGAGTCATGCCGGCCACATGACCACGGAGACGTCTTCGGACAGTGCTGGCTCTTTGGCTTTGAAAGGGAGATGAGCACCGCCCCCTAGAGTCGGGAATGAGACTAGCACATATGTGCGAGGGGAACCTTTACCTTTACCTTACTTAGGGCTGGTGAAACTGACTAGCCAAGAGGCAGAACATTACTTCTTTGAACTACCAAGCATGCAGGAACATTTGGATAATGTTTTGAATCTCTCCACTAATCAAGAAGAGAAGCAACCAGGGAGAAAAATTGACCAGTGGAATAAATTACCTTCGGAAATTATGGGTGCTTCATCACTGGAGGCCTTTAAGCAGAGACTGGACAGCCACTTGTCTGGAATGGTGTAGGCAGGGTCTCCTGCTTTGGACTAGGGTTGGAGTCCAAGGGGGTTGGACTAGAAGACCTCCAAGGTCCCTTCCAACTCTGTAATTCTGTATTGTGGATCACATCCTGTTTGGGGGTTTTTTGAGGGGGGGAGGGCAGAGGGAAATAAATTCCACAGATGCCACTTCACTGCTGTCTTCCCACTTACAAACACGGATCTTGTGTGCTTCTGTGCAAGACCGCTAGACCGGTGTTGGAAATCAGGGCTAAATTTGTGGATAGGTGGCGGGTCCCACTCAATAAATCAAGACTGCTGTTTTATTGCCAGCCACCCCCTCCCCATTAGCCAGTTCCGGACTGGGCTTTGACAGATGCTTTGGCCATCTGTTAAAACTCCTCTCTGATCCCAGGTTGAGCAGTTGGTGATGCTTTTCCCAGTGGCAAAGGATGCCAGGGGAATCCCGAATCACTTAAGTCAGCAAAATTAGGAAGCCCATGCCTTGGAGTTGGGGATGTTCCATAGTGTATTTTTGAAAATAAGACCCAACTGGAAAATAAACCCTAGCATGATTTTTCAGGGTGCTCGTAATATAAGCCCTACCTCCCAAAATAAGCTCCAGTTAAGACTGTCAACCAAATGGATGCAGTTAGTACTGTATTTCCCCAAAAATAAGACCTAACCAGAAAATAAGCCCTAATGCGTCTTTTGGAGCAAAAATTAATATAAGACCCGGTCTTATTATTTCTCTCTCTCTCTCCATCCACCCACCTATCTATCTATCTATCTATCTATCCATCCATCTATCTATCTATCTATCTATCTATCTATCTATCTATCTATCTATTGTATTTGTAGCTTTTACAAATAACTCAAGGTGGCAAACATATCCAACACACCATCTTCCTCCCATTTTTCCCATAACAAGAACCCTGTGAGGTGGACTGGGCTGAGACAGAGAGGACTGGCCCAAAGTCACCCAGCTGGCTTTCATGCCTAAGGCAGAACTAGAACTCATCATCTCCCACTTTCTAGCCTGCTGCCTTAACACTAGACCAAACTGGCTTGGTATAGTAAAATGGGTGGCCTATAAATTTAATAATAAATAAAATATATTTTTCCAATAACTCCTGGAAGCCTTCAGCCATCAGCAATAGAGAAATACTATGTAAATAATTGATTAGCAAGCATTTAATGAATTGCTTTAAAGACTATAAAGATGTCTGTTGCCTTTCCCGTTCCTCTTCTCCAATGCGTCCCCTCCCACAAAACTAGCCAACATTTAAACAAACCACAGTTTGGGCATAGGCAGCCACTCATTAATCTGGTTATGCCGGTTATTTGCACGCAGCTGGCAGGAGCTCACGAGGTCATCTGCCGGTGCCTGTACTTTAAAAAGAAAGAAACGAGAATTCCAGAATTTCAAAACATCCAGATTATGAGGAAAGCGGCAGACTCACTTTTCTTGCAAAACAATACTTCACGGGGGAATTCCCCAAGCAGAAGACAAATAACTTTTTGCAAAACAGCAATCTTGTGGCTTTTTCTTTCATTTTTTTCCTCCAACACTTCCTACTGGCTTGATGTTGTTATAGTCCTCGAGTTACAATCACAATTAGGACCAGAATTTCTGTTGCTAAGCAAACCAGATATTCCGTGAGGCGCGGCTGATTTTGCGACCCCCCCCCCCCCCAGTTGTTAAGTGAACCCTGCTTCCCCTATTGACTCTGCTTGTCAGAAACTGGCTGGGAAGGTCTGAAAGGACAATTGCATGACCCTGGGGCTCTGAAACCATTGTAAATACAAGCCAGCTACCAAACACCCAAAGTTTGTGACTGTGGGGAATGCTGGGATGGCCGTAAATGCGAGGACCAAACATCACTTTTTTTTAGTAGTGTTGTAACTTCAAATGGACTCTAAAAGAAATGGTCAGTCATTTTTAATTTTTAGTCATTTTTAATTATGGGGGTCCTTGGTGGTCTCAGAGCTTGGTCTAGCCCTGATGATATTACCTGAAACGTCTGGAAGAAAATAACCAACTTCAGAGCTACTGTATATAAACAGGGAGTGAGCCACACTCACTAGCACTGATAATGTTACCTAGTTGGGTCATGAAACGTCTGCAGGAAAACAACAAGGCTCGGAGACCACCAAGGTTCCCCACCATTCAACTTTGAGCTACCAATATTCTCTTCTATTGGCATTTTTGAATTAATTTACTTTACTTTACTTTTATTTGATTTATATACTGCCCTACTCCCGGAGGACTCAGGGCGGTGAACAGCCAACAATAAAATACATATATACAAAATTTAAAAAGCAGAAATAAAATCGAATTAAATAGTTTGGCCCAGACAGATTAAAACCCCAATCAATTTAAAACAAATTTAAACTTTGAGTATTAAAAATATTAAAAAATATTAAAATTATTAAAATTGTTTAAAAAGAGGGAGAAAGTTAGGCCAGGCCTGCCTGGTGAAATAAAAAGGTCTTTAGAGCGCGGCAGAAGGTGCGCAGATCCGGGATCCTCCGTATCTCCGGGGGGAGCTCTGAATGGAGTTCTACCTTCAGCCAGGACACATTTGATGACTTTGGATCTTCTCCCCTTTGGCCTCTGTTACGGGATCGAAGGGGAAGGGGCCGATGGAAGCCAGGCAGAAACATCACTCGGGGACATCAGCAGTGTCCGATTGTGGTTCAAAGGGAGAAGCCAGGCCTGAACTTTCCAAATGGTCTCTTCCTGCATTTTCAAGAACGTTTCCCCCCCACACTTTACGGCTGAGCTGTCCGTTGTGATAATATGGAACAGGGGGTGGAGGGGGGAGGTTGAACTGGTTCCCCATCCGAAAGAGGAAGCAGCTTGTCCAAATTGCAATGCTGCAGCCCAAAGTGTCAGTTTTCCAGTTGCCAATTTGCTCCCCCCCCCCCCGCCCCGCATCTGGCCCTGCCAACGGCTCCTTGGGGAAGAGGGAGGGGGGCGTCTGTGTCCCCGGTGGGGTGGAGAAACCGATCTTTCCTTCCACTCCTCCTTCCTCCCCAGGGCTTCGGCTTCTTTCAAATAAAATAAAAGCACTTTTTTTTCTTTTCTTACAAAACTTTTTCCAAAATTTAAAACAGGGCCCTTTGAGTCCTCCCCAAAGAATCCATGACCTGATACACGACAGGTAGTCCTCGACATACGACCACAACGGAGTCCACAAATTACGTTGCTAAGTGAGAGATTTGTCAAGTGGCGTTTCGTCGACTTTTCTCACCACATTTCTTAAGGGAATCACCGCAGTTCTTAAATGAGAAACACGGTTGTTAAGTGAATCCTCATCGACTTGGCTTGTCGGAAGGTCGCAAAAGGGGATGGCGTGACTCCAGGACACTGCGACCGTCATAAATATGAGACAGTTGCCAAACGTCCGAATGTAAATCGTGTAACCAGGGGGGGAGGCTGCAAGCGTCATAACGGTGAAAATCGGTCATACTATTGGGACCCAAAGGGATCCATCCTTCTGTTACTTTCAGATGATCAAACTATAGTTTAGATTCTCTTTCTCCTTTCTTTCTTTCTTTCTTTCTTTCTTTCTTTCTTTCTTTCTTTCTTTCTTTCTTTCTTTCTTTCTCTCTTTTTCTCTTTCTCCTCTTTCTCTCTCTCACACAAACACCTGGTTAAAAATTAAGTCTTCATAATCTCCAACAATTTGCCAGCAATTTGTTTGTATTGGGGGGGGGACACCCGACCCCTGCTTTTAAGAGGAGGCGCCCACATTTTTCTAGGGCTGTCCATGAAAGGGCTGGGAGCGCGGGCGCCCACTTGCACATTCGCTCCCCCAAGTCTGCCCAGCTTTCCTTTTCCCTCGGTTGCGTTCCCACGACCCTTGACGCCAGGCCTCCCTCCCTCCACCCCACCGCCCCCCCCCTCCGCCTTGGCGCCGCGCGCGGAACCCCGCATCCTTTGCAAAAGCGTGAGAACTCCGCTCGGGCCCGCCGGTGACCCGAGGCGGAAAGAAAGCGCGGCTGCATGCGAGGCAGGTTGTGTGAAAGCAGCTTCTGATTGGCAAAGGGATTTGGGGAGGGGGGGGGCTAGGGGAGCCCCACCTTCCTCGCTTCACCCCCGGTCCTCTTTTGCAAGCCAGTTCCCGGATTGGCTGGGGTTTCTATGGCAACGGCAGCTCTGCGCAGGGAGGGAGGGAGGGAGGGGTAAGGGGGATGCTGGGTTCGGGGAAGGTGGGGTGGGGGGCGCCTGGGGTACCCCCAAGCCTTGCAACGGGGAGGGGAGGGGGCGCTGCCGGCGGCCTGGAGCGAGCCGACCCCCGCCTGGCTCCGGATCTTAGCGCAACCTGACAGCCCAGGTTGCGTGTCAAGGCGAGGAACAAAGGAGAGGAACGGGCGGCGAGAAGGGGAGCGGGCGCTCCGTCTGAACCGCCACCGGCGGGGTTGTGCCCCCAACAGGTTAAACGCCGAACAAGCTTCGCAAGGAAAAAGCCAGACGAAAACTACCCGCGGTGGCCTGTGCGGAGTGAAGCAGAGCTGGCTGCTTTCCTTATCTGGAGAAGACCAACATCTGGGAGGGGAGGGGGGCTGAAGAAGGGGGTCTTGAGAAGGAGGGAGGGGAGCAGCGCCAGAGGCAGAAAGCCCAAAGTTAAAAAAAACAAGCAAACCCAAAAAAGAAGGGAGAGAGAGAGAGAGAGAAAGAAAGAAAGCTGGAGAAAGAGTTGGGATTTTTTTTTTTTAGTCCTAGACATCCAGCCACAATGGAGCCCAACATTTCTGCTGCTAAGGGAGACCGTTATTAAGTGAGCTTGGCCCCATTTTACAGTGGTTAAGCAAATTGCTGCCGTTGTTAAGTGAATCACGGGGATCACGTGACCCCCCCCCAGGATGCTGCGACCGTCATAAATATGAATCAGTTGCCAAGCGTCCGGATTTTGATCACGTGATCATGAGTGAGCCTTCAATGGTCATGAGAGTGAAAACCGGTCGTAAGTCACTTTTTTCAGTGCCGTTGTAAAAACTTTGGTCACTCAATCAACTGTTGTAAGTCGAGGACTATCTATAAAGGTGTTACGTCTAGCTCAGTTTGGAGTTTCTCTTTCATGTCTGTGTGATAGTTTTATTTTTATTTTTTGAATGTTTATTTATTTTTTCATGTCAGAGATGAAGCAGGGAGGCTTCAAAACAGTGGAGAAAATTGCTTGTGTCTCTCTTACTACCAGTTGAATTCCAGAGAGGGATTACGGAGGGGATCTCCTCCTTTTTAGGGCACCATTTTTGAAAGGCAGCCCAAAAGCCAAAAGAGCCACAGCACAAACTGTTTGTATCTCTGCAAAGCAGGACATTTACTGCCTGGTGCTGCTTCTTCAAAATGCAACGTGAGGTTTATTAGTCTGTTTTCTTCTTCCAGCAATTCTTCTAATCAAGTGCTCAAAAAACTTTAAAACTTCCAAAGAGAAGGAAGGAAAGAAGGGAGAGAAGGAAGGAAGGAAGGAAGGAAAGTGTTCCACGATGCATGGTCCATTTGTGGAAAACATAGACCCATAATACAAGGATTTATGAAAACGAGGTGCATTACTTTATATATATTGCTTTATATATATAAAAATGAGACTAATAAGGCAGCTTTACCTGGAACAGCTGACATCCTGTGATGATACCTTTAACCCCATCAAACAAGAACATCTGTCTATCCCAGGTTCTTGGGAAAGACTCAATAGATGGATAAAAATGCCAAATCCAGTCTAAACATCTGGCTGAGTGTGCGACCAACCATAATCATAATTTATAAATATATTTGTTTAAAGCAATCATAGATAGCAAAATTGCAAAGAAAATGAAGTATTTTGCCGAACATGTAGCCTGCTCATCCATTCATCCATCCATCCATCCATCCATCCATCCATCCATCCATTTATCCATCCATCCATCCATCTATCTATCTATCTATCTATCTATCTATCTATCTATATCTATCTATCTATCTATCTATCTATCTATCTATCTATCCTGTTTCCCCCAAAATAAGACCCAACTGGAAAATAAGTTCGAGCATGATTTTTCAGGATGCTCGTAATATAAGCCCTTTCCCCCAAAATAAGCCCCAGTTAACATTGTCAGCCAGATGGATGCATTTAGTACCGTATTTCCCCCAAAATAAGACCTAACCAGAAAATAAGCCCTAATGTGTCATTTGGAGCAAAAATTAATATAAGACCCGGTCTTATTTTCGGGAAACACGGTATCTATCTATCTATCTATCTATCTATCTATCTATCTATCTATCTATCTATCTATCTATCTATCTATCTATCTTAAATGTAGGGTGCCTAACAATATATGAAAAATCTAACAATAAAAAATAATTCTGGTCCAGCTTTGAGAGATTGGCCAGACTTCTCAGAAAC